CAATATCATACATATATAATTTATGAAATAGCAAATTTTCAAGTGAATGGTAATTTGGAGTAAACCGCATTGGAAACATGTGACGATTTGAACTGTTTAGGCTGTGATGTCAGTTGGTTCTCGCTGGTAAAACCTGTGGAAATATTACGTGATTCAAAACACACTCGCCTTGGGGGATATTCCACTTTTAAGCATTTACGTGATGTGTCAAAGGAAGAGTGATTTCTTACCGTCTTATACTGGCCTTGTAGAGTATAGTACAGAGTTTGTATTTAGTGTGGGCCTAAGTAACATTAATCCCACAATGATAGGTGGTGAATCACACTTTTTTACAAAATATATTTACTTTATGGTCAGAATAGGATACTTTGAGCATTATAAAAACTTAATAAGCGCTAGACACGGGTAAAAGACTAAAAACATTCTTGAAATGTTGTAAGATTAAATATTAATAAAAAATGCCATTATCAAAGATATTTTGTGATATAATATTGTAAAAATAAAGACTGCTCCAAACGTGTTCCGATTAAACAACATAACTAGCTGTGAAACCGTCTGGGCTTACATGATGCACTTAGATATACAGGGAGATCGATAATCTGACTGACGTATAGGCTTATTTAAATACTTAAAATTCCCTAGGGCTACGGCCCGTAGCCATTCAATGTTTCAAGGTAGAACATTTTAAAGTAAATATTGATTAGTCTCAATGGAAAAATTACACCTGCTTTCAAAATTTATGTTTAATTTAATTGTTGATCATGCTATTTATTTTTCTTGCCATACAGGTAATCGAATTAAACCAAAGACAATTGTATGAAATTAAAGTGGTACAATGAGGAGTTTTGTTTTAATTATCACTGGTGGGCTTATAAGTACAGTAAATTTGATCGCATTATTCTTTTGTGCGCTATGTTATACCGTAGCGAAGAACGAGTAAAGTAACTAGCAAATTTCACTTGTCATTCATAGAGTCTTAACAAGTAAAATTAAGTAAAGGAATAAACAACTTAGGTACATACTTCATTTATAATTAAATACGTTGTAATTTCTATAGCAATAAAAACGAAAGAGTTGTTTATGTAAAAAAAAACTTTGCAAAAATTGACAATGAAAGGTTATAGAATTCAAAGCTGTATAAAGTATGTGTCGATGCTAAATAGTTTTGTTTTTATCTTAAGAAAATATATTACAAACAATAGCAGGATATCAATATTACTAGTTGTTTTGCAAACCTCAACATAGACAACTTTTTAAGGCTTTAAAAAGACAATTCTAAATCATGCGCATTTCAAATTGGATTCCTTATTAGTTCAAGTCAACTTCTTTTTCCCTGTTATATAGAAATCTACAATGTATAAATTTGTATATACAAATTTAAATTTTTTCTAGTTCAGACATAAAACTGTCTCATGGATACTCAAGACATCTTGTATACATTTTCTAGTTAGACGTTTTGTGGTATACTATGTAACCTAATGTACCTAAGACGATTTCTGTATCAACAACTACGCTTGGTTACAAACGATAGTTTTCATAATTACAGAAAATATTGAGTTATTTTATGCATTTTATTTTCCCAAGTAAACATCCTACAATTATTTTGTTTCAATAAGTTCCTGACATAATTGTTTTTTGGCCACTATAGATGGTTAGTTTACTGATTTTATCCGTTGAAAAACTCTTGATCGTGTTCAAGGTGTTTGGGGCACCTTCAAGTTGGGAACAAATTACGTAACTTTAACCTTGAAATGTATCTCTTGACATTACGCATCCCTGTTGTGTAATTGACGGGTTCCAGTCTAGAGTAGATCAGCTGTTAGTGTGTGTGCTATGTTAACATATGTTTTATTTAAATTTTATTTCTAACATGTGTTCAAATAATTATTCTTTTGTTTACTTGTTGAATTGTTTATGTTTACTTACAGATTGTGATTTAATAAAAACTTACTTTCTATTTTCTTATACAAAATGTGAACTTTTATTAGTAAAATTATTGGAATCAACAGTGTTAAAACCATTAAATTTTATACCGTAGTCCAGCAGCTTTTCTCTTGATAGTCAAAGGTTCTATTAAGAAGTTCACACTTCTTATAGATGCATTTATCCCGGGCCAGTTGAAGAAAGTGTTTTGTCATACTGCAACAAAACAGTTGTTTTTAATGTATGGGTTGCGGGAATAAAGTAGTTCCTAAAGAATAAGTTTTGATGGTTATGCCCGGAATCGGAACCGTGCCTCTCGCATCAATGTCCGAGATCCTAACCACACGACTATAGCTACACACCCAAAAAGATTTATTGGTAAAGTGTTCATTTTCATCTAGTATTATTACCAACAAGTAAAGAACGCACTTCAAAATTTACTCTGAATTATAGATAAATGTTAGTTAATACCAAACGTAAACGGGCTTTAACTTTCTATTTATAAATTGTTTGTATTGTAAATATTTTTTTTACTATTTATGTTGTTATTTTTATTGTTATTGTTCACTATTTGTACAACTATTACTATTTTGTTTCCTGTTGCCGTTGGGAAATAAAATAAAATAGAATAAAATAAAACACAACATAATAATCAATGATCTTTACAATAATACGGGCCTACTTGTAGCATCTAAAGTTTGCGACAAAAATTTCCTCTCCTCCTAAATTGTATCATGAAAAAATTAAGAAAATGAACATAAAAAATTTAAATTTAGGTGTAAAATGCTTTTATAAAGAACGTACGCCTGATTACCTTTATTTATACATTAGCTTAGGAACGTTTTAAGTTACTGCAAGGTTCTTCAATCCAAGAAAACTTACATCATAGACTAATCAATACAATTAGACTTCTCATCCTATTATACATTTAAAACTCGCTTTTCGTGTCTAGTCCATGTTGGCGACACTGATCGCTAGTGTCGCTGAAATTTAGTTTATATTATTTTAGGGTTAATTACACGATTTGTGATTTACTGTTTGGTTATATAACTAGGGAACGAGTTATTGTTTATGATTAGATCGTTTTATTTTGTAAAATGAGGTTATAAATTACTGAAATAACAAGAAACAAATTGTAAACAAAACACGACCTCTGCAGTGAAAAGTTATATATGGGTGGAAGTAACAAAAAAATTTTGCTCCAGCTTTTCCACAAGGGTGAGAAATCTACTAAGAGAGAATGTTTTAACTATGCTTACATCTATGTGATCAGTACATTTCAGCATTTTATATTTCATACTCTTTTGATAGGTTAAATTACTTAAATTCTGTTTCGCAGCAGCACGTGTTATGAAAGACACAAGCAGGTTACAGTGTTACCATGAAGTAACAACATTTTTAACTTTAATTTTAGAGTACTCAAAAATATGCAGAGTTTGAAAATTGAATTTTATAAAAGTAAATTAAAGGAATTGATCCAAAACGACTCAATCAAACAAACGAAGTGAAATAATTAATTATCAAATGTAGTCTATACCGTTAAACGATTTGTAAATATAAAATAGTATGTAAGAGTGAATAGCCATCGAAGGGATGAACCATATCCGCGCGTGTTTTACAACACATGGTTGAATAATATTTGTATAAAAAATGTTTTATGTGAACAAAAAAAAAATATTTTTTTATTCCCTATTATCTTCTCATTTTAATACGTGGAAAGGTTTTTTTTCACAGATTCTAAATCAATTATTTCACGGATTTTCATACAGTAATTCTTCTGTTGAAAGAAAGATAATTTTGAGAGGACGGAAACTTTGAAGCCAATTTTAATTTTCGGTTTCTGAATTTCAGAAATTGAGTTTAATTTTGAAAAGTCTAACAGCCGACTTTAACATTTTAAGTTTGTTTCAGTACAAAATAATTTAGTTTAACGAGCAACTGGCTTTCTATCTCTAAACTGTCACTGAAATGTTTATGCTTTGTTCAAGTTGTTTACAAAAATATTAAGCGTTGGTATATTTTTATGATCAAACAAAAATAATTTTCCTTACAATAAAGGATTTGCTTTTTCAGGACATTTAATGTAACTCGGGGATCTGTTTAATGTCTTCGGGAAATGTAATCTTTAACTTTATATCCTAATATGTTTAATTTAATTAGGTTTCATCTTAAATTTAATTTGTGTGAATATAAGTTTATTCCATACGGATTTGAACTCCTGCTAACACATTTTTTTCAGCAAACTATCGTTAGATTATACACATTATAAGTGGTTTACACGTTGATAGTTAGTTTTACTTTATAATTCAATGTCCATCTGATATACCAACGTTTTGGTTGGAAATGAAAATTTAATGAAGTATGCATTATTGGTCTCTACAAAACCTGGTGTGCAAATGGCTGTCAAGAGAAACCAAAATCAACATACCATATCATAACTACCACAGTATTACGGTTCAGAAACCTACTTGGGCTCTGGACAGTTAATAAAAAAAGCTTATTGTTTTGTTGTAATAGATTGAAGAGAAAAATATATGAATCTGTATGAAGATAACGAAGGTTAGAATTTTTTTACAATGCATAATCAAGCCGTGCTGAAAGGACAACTTGTTGTAAACAATATCATCTACATGATACATCTACCTATATAAAATTCTTATATTACGTCCAACTAACCAATCATAAATAATTAGGGTAAAATACATGTTCAACATTAGTGCAAACCATACGTAGATATTCAACCATATTTTATTTCAATACAAAATTGGCTGCACCTGTTTATATACACTGCATATCCGATTTAGCTTCTAGAAGTCATCTCTAAAATTTCGTTACTTAAAATTAGTTTACAAATAAATAATTTTTCGTACTCAAAATGATACAAACACGATTCCAATCTCAGTTATAAACTGTCACTTTAGCCAGTTCAACGCAATAAAAACCAGAGATTTGTCCCTGAAATTGAACAGGTCCCACGTTTACCTGGGTCCAGTTTTTATCAGTTTATCACTGAATCACGTGACCTGGGATGTCCTGTAAAGTCAAGGTCACGGATTGCACCAGAGTACGGTGTACAATGTATATAAGCCCGGTCACGGTTTAGTCGACTAGTTGCCGGTCATCTACTACCACCTACAACATGTCTTCTACTAAGGTAAACAATTTTCGAAATTTGTCTTTAGTTTTCAGTCTGTTTTGGCTGTTTGTTACATGTTGTGATGCTTTGACAACGTTAGTTGTACGAATAACCTTCTTAAGAATTATTATTTCACACTCATCTAAACAAATCATACATTAATACAAACACTTCCCAATAAAAAAAACATATAAAGTATTTACGCAAAAGTACCCTATTATACTGTATATACTGTACCCTTTAAATATCTCTTCCAATTTTATATATCATGGGCAATGGTTGTTATGCATTATGGAGCTGTATAACAGTTTAAACTAAATCTTTTGGCACTGAAGTAGATGTTTTCATCTATATGGACCATCTGTACCACATTTTCATAAATGATATTCTAAGATGACTAAATTTTTAACGTGGGGTATTTAATGTCTTGTTCTGTCCAATGATTAAACACACTACCTTATTTTCGTCCTTAAGGACCAGTTGAAGACAGTTTCAAAGTATATTTCGTTCCGGCTTATGTAGAGGTTGTATTGTTGTTTACTGTTTAAGAAAAAAAAATGGCTAACTAAAGTTTATTTATAACATATTGTTTAACAATTGCGTAATAACTAATTATAAATTATTTTATAGTCAAAGAGTAAGAGTAAGGTACAAAATGTAAAATGTAATAAAGAGATGTACTTTTAAAATATGCTTCAGGTTTTACAAAAGTTAAAAAAATGCTAATGTTACTATTCGAGGTTAAAAATAGTTTCGTGTAAATTGGTTTACATAAAACCTTTTTAAAATATAAATTGTATAATCAAACAAATGGTTAAATTAGTTTTGACTTTGCAGCCATACTATAATATTAATTTAATTGCCTAGTCCTTATTTTTTAAATCTATAAACCATTGTCCTTGATTAATTGACAAGTAGCCCTCTTATCCTGTTTATAAAAATCTAAGGCATGTTTTAAAATGTGTTCCAATTCGGTTACATTTTAGTAAGCGACTTGATTTTTATACCTTATTAGCCATTATACCCGTGCTTCACAACGGGAAAAGAATTATTATTATTCCATAGATCTGCTGTCTGTAGATACACTTTTAGTAATCCACTAAAAGTATTAACTTCAAATATTAACTGGCTACTTTCGTTTCCCAGACATTATTTTTTGGAAAATAAACAATTTTTTATAAACATTTAGGAAAAAAGAAAGTCAATAAGTTAATGAATTACGCACTTAAAAATAAAACTCCTTATTCACTAACTATCAAAAATTATTTATTAAATTTAAAACATAAACATAACTGTAAACAATCCTACTTTGACAGTTCTAATTTTGTATCACAGCTGCTTGGTTGAAATTAGCAACTAACTGTTGTCATAAATTTAGACAATTGATAGTGCTGCTATTAATTATGACCAACCAATGCTATTGATCATCACATAATCAAATTGTTTAGTTAAAACAGTTGGTAAGATTCTTTAATCATTTAAATATGAGTACTCGTAAGGTTAACATGGGAAACTCCATATCTACTGGGGCGGAGCCCTTTTAACGGATCTGCACCAAACTTCACACTTGAATAATTCTTAATTATGGCTGAAAATTTCATTGCAATCTGTTGAGTGGTTTCCATGGTTGAGTCCATAGGGTACATACATACATACTTCCTCTTTTATAGATATAGATTAGAGAGGTTTTCTGCTTAGCTCTAGGTATAAAACTAGAGAACGACCAATACATTTTAAATACTATCGTTATATTTAACTAAAGCAATTTTGCAATATTCGAAGTTCAAGGAAAACTAAGTCCATATGATTAATAAATTTAAGATTACTCTTTGGGGTTTATAAATCTATTTGATCGCCCAGCCTAAAGCTAAAGTTATAATTTGTTGCTTTAAACTTTAATTCATAAACTCTCAAATACCTAACCATTATTATACAATATACAGTAGACATATACGTCCCTAAAACATTAGTGCATGTAAATAAATCAAAATAACAAACTTTATTTTAAAAATCAATTTCTTTCCACGACATATATAAAATAAACAGTCTAAATAGTTTATGAGTGAACAATTTGTACATTTTAACTTACATAGGTTAAGGTTGGCCGTTCTTTTCAAGTAATCGTGGGCAGGCTTACTCATATTATTAACCCTCGTATAGAAAAATATGTATATAATTAAAAAAAAATGTTTAAAATAGGTCTCTTTTTAAAAAATAAAGTAGTTTTTAATATACTAGGCATTTTATTCTATAAATAATCTTCCACTTATTTTCAAAATTATTCTGATTTATTTTATTTACATTGAGTCAGTAGGTATTGTACGATATCTTATCTTCATTGTCACATAGACAAGAACAAGTGTTAATAAAGGCGTTTAGAATTTAATCTAATGACCACTTCAGGAAAGGTTTATTGAAATAATGGATTTTGTCATCCATAGGATCTTTGAAGAAAAAAAAACTTAAAGTTGTAAGTTCTCAACTAATGACATCGTATATGTTGCAGGTTATTTCTCTCGTCTTGGTGTTGATGGTCGCCATGACCTTGACCTTCGTCTCTGCCCAGTACGGCGGCTATGGAGGTTATGGAGGATACGGAGGAAGAGGATATGGTGGATACGGAGGAAGAGGATATGGTGGATATGGGGGAAGAGGCTACGGTGGATATGGTGGAGGAAGGGGTCGAGGAGGATATGGGGGATACGGTGGATACGGACGGTACGGTTAGAAATGATGGCTACTTATTGAAGATATCTGTGTACATAATTGAGATTGAGTATTGTGATACATTTTTGTTATTAAAAGTTTATTAATGTATACTTTGGAGTTGTTTTACATTTTTAACAACCTTTTTTAATATGTTTTTGGATTTATGTCGTAGAAACACCTGAAACTTCCATTAAAAGAGGCAAATATACTTTAAATTAAGTTTGATATATACAATACAAATAAATTCATATTGTAGTTAGTTCCATTACAACTACATATTTTGCGTTTTCATGATTTTTGAACATAGATCTAATAAGGCTACAACTAAGTTGGGATAGCTGAACAACTATTAATAATGTACAGAACCTAGTAAATTTACCTTACATTATTAATTTTACCAACTTCAAAAGGATTAATCTATTTCCACAGCCTTATTGTAGTTAAGCTGTTTTATTCCATCAGTTGTATTTTTGTTGCTACGTATTCCAGTTCTAGAAAGTGTTTTTACTTTATATCAGTCACTGTATAATGAATATACCTACAAAAATATGACTATAAAGTATATTTTGATAAAGTACTAATAACTGGCTGCTACGTAATAGTGTTTACCAACTGAACATCTCTCATAGTGGTAATAACTGCTTTCTCTTTTCATAAATAAAGAAAAAACCTACTTCATACTTAATAAAAAATATTGAGTGTAAATGTCTTAAATAATTGTAGGAAATGGTCACAGACAAAGTAAATGCTACACTGTTGTACTCAATTAATACATAAGCTAACATGATCGTTGTTACCAAGCTTGAAAAATAGTTTGAAACCAGACCTATTCTGAAAGCCTTTCAAACAATTATTTCTGGCAAAAAAAGTTTACTAATAACCATCAAGTCAATCATCATCTCCTGTTTTGCTAAAGAAATCATACACAATAGATCCACCAATGTTTGGGAACATTTTTTTAAACTAAGTATTAAGATGGAAAAATTCCATATACAATATTGTAATTGAAAGATTGTTCCCTTTAAATTGACGTAGCATGTTCACTTAACTTTTGACCTTCATTGCTTGTTTGCATGTTTACTTCGTAAAACTTTCCCGACAGTAAATCTTTCTGTCAACTACTTATTCATCAATCATCATGTAGTCACAGAGTATCCCAGTATGTAAGCTAATACATCATTGATAATATATGTTTATCTACTGTAGTTTATTTATTCCCTTGATTTATTGTAATACTTACCATTTAGATTAAATAAGTTTGGGTTTTTATCTTAATAGGTTTAAGAACTATTGAAAAGACATTTTATACACATATTCGACAAGTTACATATTAGATTTCTCCTTTGTTCTCTAACAAGAGGTTTTGGGTCACCTTATGTACATTTCGCCAGCTGTGCGACATCGTCAGGGAATCTGATAACATATACCTTCATGTCACTAACTTACACTACAATTGCTTATTGTTTATACACACAAAACATTTGTCACAGCTATCACGGTCGGGCCAAACAGGTGACTCCTGGACGGACACGGTCTTTCCTCCTTCGGTTAATTTCTTACTCTAAGTAAAGTCAAGTACTCAAACCCTAGTCAAAAACTAGACTGAGTTATTTACCTTGAAACATTAATTATAAAATTAATTTATACAACAAAAAACTTTTAAAGGAACAAGGTTGACATCACTAACCACTACAAGTATACAAACAACATTTATTTGACAGACAAAACAATAAGTTTGAAGCGAATTAAGTAAATTCTGTAATTACAATACGGTTAAGCTCTGAAGATCATGGGACTATCCGTAGTACGGATTGCCCCCATAGCCGATGTTGAGGCCACCGTATCCACCATATCCTTGTCCGTATCCACCGTAGTTTTGTCCTCCCCGTCCGAAAGATCCCTGGCGACCTCCGCCGTACGATCCTCTACGACCTCCGTAAGATCCTCGTCGTCCACCTCCATAACCTCCCCCTCTGCCAAAGCCCTGGGCGGCCGTGTATCCTAGGAGGAGTAGAAGCCACAGGGCAGCTAGGAGTTTCTGGAAGGTAACAGAGAATATGTTAAATTACAGAGCCACTATTTACTTAAATGTTTTCATCATCGTCACCTCTGAGACGTCAACACCGACTGGGTATTGAAGCATATCATTTATTAACACACCAATGATCAAGGACAGTTCGATCCATTATCAGGATACACAGCTTGTACAGGTTCGAATCGGTAACCAGTAGATTGTCAGGTGAAAACTGTAGTCATATATTAAAGGGAGTAGACACCAGACAGAGTAGAGAGTATGTAAACTCTATTTAATCTATGATATAACCACCTAGCTACTCAAAAATAGTTTTATTAAGAATATGTTTGTTAATTCTACAATTTTTTTGTTTCTTTACATTTTAATTGAAAACCCCTTTGATTATATTTGAGAAATATTTTAAGCGCTGTGAAACATGAATAGCCTAATATGTAGAAAATAATATCTAATTTTCAAACCTGTAACTATTTTGTAATAATATGAACGAAGAACGATGTTTAAAGTACTGTACCTCATTCGAACTATTTCTAAATATTTAGTGCCTTTTTACCTCATCCCAGCATGACTTTGCTACACATAATAAAATTTGAGTTCAGTAGACATTCATTAAAAAACCACAACATTCACCCTATGATACAAGTTTTCTTCCTTTCGAATGGGAGCTATGCTACAATTAAATTGACGCTAACCACTAACCAAACTACTAGAAAACTATAGATATATTCTTTATTGATCTCTATCATACTTCAATGTAAGTTCAAAACTAATCTATAAAGAATCTTTTTTCATAAGTATCTTAAAAAAATCTTACATGAATTTTCTGCACTAGCAGGTATACTTAGCGTATTTTATTGAGTAAATGGTGTAATGTTAAATGTGTAAAAGTAATTAAAAATTAAATCGTACTGAAATGTTCTCTAAACTCAGTCAATAACTGTATTACTGATTTAGCAATGCGCTGATTAGTAATTTTAAAAAGTAATCTCCTTGGCTAAGGGTAAGATTAATATAATAATGTGTACATTTTAGAATTAATTAACATTTCTGTCCAGAATTTAACCATATACCATTGACAAATTATGACACTGAGTGAAAAGTACTGTAAAAAGATACTGTGGAAAGAAAGTGGCTTTTTGTCTATTAACTATGGTATTATGTTAATCTCAAAGAGCAAATAGAATCGTTGCAAATGAGAAAACTTTTAACCGTAAACTATCTCTATATAGATGGAGATCCAAGATAAAATAAGCTTAAAATCAAATCAATTACGTAATTCTAAGCAAGGATAAACATTTTTTGCTGGAACGATGATAATTTGAATTTCATCATCAAAGATTAATAATAGAATTAAAGTTTTAAAAAGCCAAACTGATGTAGGCTAAATCCACGGTAAAAAAATTATTCATAAAATTTGGGCTTTAGAGATTTCAATGAAATAAATGGTATCATCAATCTGACACATACTTCTCCCATAAGCATGTTAACAACCTTTATCATAGGTATGCGAAAGGAGTAACTGCTATTTTATAGCGAAAATCACAAAAAGTTCATTAGCTTTTGAACCGTAATAGTTACAGCAATAGGGGGTTGCACTATTTTGTTTAGAATTGTAAGGGCATAACGTATAAATTTTAGTCAAAACCGGCGTTTTTCTTAAAATCTGACCTGTTGTTATTTTATGGTTTTATGGGAAAATAACTATTGAACCATAATTTTTACGGAAATGGGATTTGTACCATTTTGTTCAGAATTTAAAGGACTATAAAATACTAAATCTTCATACAAATCATTCGGCTTTTTTTTAAATAAAATTTTTCCGTTATGTTATGGGGTTTTATGAAAAAAATTATCATTAAAAACAATTTTAAAAAAATAAGAAAATTCTGGAGATACCATGGATTAGTACCTACACACCAAATTTCATCAAAATCAGACCACAGGTGGTCTCTAGCTCTGTACACATCCACACATAAAGACACACCCAGACATTACTTCGAAAACCACTTTTTTGTGTTCAGGGTTGACCAAAACGGATATATCCACTAAAAACTCAAACTCGAAAATGTTGACGAAATCTATACTTTATCCTTATACTAAAGGGAGAGAATGTAAAAAACATTCCGATTTGAACGTTTTTTTTATTCACTACTATTGGTTTGCTAGACATATTAGAAAACTCAACGAATCTTTAAAATGGAAACTGTGTTCTGTTACACAATTCAGAATTACATTCGCAACACTCGATATTCACACAATATTCCTTTTGTGAATAAGCACGCCATAATAATCATATAGAGTGGTACGTGAGAGTCTGATCTAATAAGTCCCGATTTATGAACGTACTTTATAACCAATATATACAAATGTAATGGAACTATTACCTACCTTGACTGGAGCAAACATTATTCCAAGTTGGAGACTGAAGACTGCTCGAACATAACTCACCCTGGGGTTTATATAGGAAGTTTTTCAGATTCAGGTAAATCGTAATCTGGCAAATTACTTCTCGGGGAATTTAATTCCTCAAGGTCTAAAATATGATGAGCTGCGGGCGTCAGAGACAGTCATGTTTGCGGTAGAGACTATGATTGTGTAATCATCTACTTACAACGTGGAAAAAAATAACAAACCGATCTTGCTGTGTATGGATGTTGTAGCACACAAGAGTCAATATTGATTCATAAAAGCATAGTTATAAAAATGACTCCTTAGTAAAGACTGTTTATAAGGCACTGCTCGGAAATAATGTGCATAAGGCACTGCTAGGAATGAATGTGCTTCAGAGCAGTGCCTTTCGGAGCCTCCGAATTTTTTTGCACCATTTATACTTTGAACATTTAAAGTGTAGTGCTTGATAAGGAAAGTATTAGATGAAATTCGTTTAATTAATTACTGCTAGAGAAAATTATAACTGAAAAAGATCTTACGTAAACATTAAAGTATACCAAATTGATGTACAGTAACTTTTAATGTTGTCTGAACAAAAGATCATAGGTGGGGTATTAATTGTAAAAACACACAAACTATTGAATGTAAAACCGTAAAAATTATAACTTCCAATGACAATTTTACTTGGATTGTTTTATAAAAGTATTTATTCAATTTAGGTGCAAGTTTTAGAATACTGTTTTTGAGTTAAGTTATGAAATAAAACTAAATGAAAATAATAACCAAATTTAGCAAAATGTCTAGAATTATCCATGGATACAACATGTCTGGATGTATAGGTTGAAAGCAAGGTAAGATGTGGTCTGATATTTGCTGAAATGTGAACTTGTAAGTTTTAGCCAAACAGAGAACAGATCCATATTTTAACATGATTTTTCCTAGACTCTCCAAGGTTGGCTACTATCAAAGTGGTATGTTTTGCATCTGAGTGCAGTAAACTTATATTCGTTCGAAATTGCCTTTAGGGTAAGATAATTTTAAATATTTTTATTCTATTTGCCTTTGCTGAACCTAATTTTAATAAAATCATCAAAATTAATGTTTTGTCACAAAGTTGTTTGAATTTTTAATAGCCATTTGTGCATTGAATTAACTCCTTCCTTCCTACATATAATGCAATGTCAATATTACTCAATAATTTCAATATATTGAAATTATGTAAGTTTTGTTCTTTAGGGTTGACGAATTTAACAAATACAAATTAATTTTATGTAATGCATACTGAGAAATCAATCGTGAAATTAACACTAAAATGTTTAAAAGAAGCCTACGAGTATAAAGGTAAAATGAAATGTAGAGGGAAGATTAATTTGATTTAATAAAATCCAAAGTGTGATGAAGATAACTTATACTGTAAATGTTTATTTATTTATTTTTACCTCCATCAAACTATTTTATTTAAAATGTATATATAAGATATCGTATAAGACTCGGAAGAAATCCTTAAAGGGACAATTTGGTAACCATTCAACCATAAGGAACAATCATAACACTTCATTGAATACAATTTAGCCAATACATTAATGTAACATTTATTTTGATTACCTGCTTTTAACTGAGTAATAAAATTAAACCGAACAATCTAACAATTGATCATTAAGTTAACTATTACTTCATTACATCATCAAATGAAAGAAAATTAACTAATACTGGAGACAAATAAATGAAAATTAGCAAAAATTCTTAAAAAGGAAAAAGATTTAGATTTTCTTGTATAATATTAGCTTTTTTCTTAGGAGAACTAGTAGGAAAATACATTTCTCTAGTGCTCCTAAATAAGTTTTATTTTCTACACTTATAAAAAATACAAAACTAAATTGAGTATGGGATACATATTGTCATTTGCAGTAAATAGGCACTTGCTGGTAGAAAATTGCAGTTGAATCCTCAAAGTTTGGATCTGTAAGCGTGGTTTTAGTAGTATCCATAACCACCATATCCAGGATAACCTCCTCCTTAACGACCATAGCCCCCGTAACCACCATTCCCTCGTCCTCTTCCACGATTACCATATCCACGACCACCATATCCACGACCACCTCCTCCACCATATCCGCCATATCCTCCTCCTGGATATCCGCCATATCCTCCATATCCTCCTCCTGGATATCCGCCATTTCCGCCATATCCTCCTCCTGGATATCCGCCATTTCCGCCATATCCTCCATATCCTCCGTACTGCGCTATTGCGTAACTCAGGGCTAGTGCGAATAGCAAACTCGCTAACAATATCTGAAATAAAATATAAAATTCAGTAGAATTCAAAATTGGGGGATAATTTTATCGACTGGTACAACTGATTGAAAAGTCCATAACCAAGTCTAATTTGTGAGTTTTGACTGAGTATGTACAAAATTCTAGCAAAATCATGTACCGCAGCTGGTCATCTGAGGTTATAATGCTGCCTAGGTAGGACACCATTTCGGTCCTGATAAAAGTCGGTACTGTAGTTTTTGTTTGTTTGAACATAATCCCACTGTCATGAATATTTTATTTTTTTAGTATTTTCCTGAACACAAACAACTGGTCTTGGTCAACAGAAGGTCACATAACATACATTTCACCTAATACACACCAATCTATCAACTTCTTTTCAAGTTTAAATGCTCCTTAGTAGCTTTTCATCCTAACTATGGGTAGTTTTACCCTTTTTGTAAACCTGTAGGTTTACATAAAGTTATACATTAAGGTAATTTCGAGCTGTGACTTAAAAATAATTTAGAACCTTCTGTAAGACTAGTAATTAACATTGTTTTACACACACTCACTTAAAATGGTTACGTTAATAAAGGCTTTAAATAATAAGGATGTACCGGTAGTTAAAAAGCTAATAAAATGACATGGTTTTTTATAAAATATTTATGAATACACGTTTTGGGAATAATTCATTTGACACAAATAATGCATCATTATTTTGTAAACATATAGGATAACGAGCCGATAACACTTAAAAAGACAAAATCTTAATAATTGAATCCTAATAATTTATTTTAATACTAGGAACACATTTGTTTATTTCACAGAAGTATACTTAGTAGATTAATAAATTGGACGAGTTATCGTTTAAATTGGTGAAATTGTATATGGTTACCTCTAATTCATATTATTTAGAGTCCATGCTAACATGTTGTATTGAGGAATTAAAAAATGCGCTGTAATATTTTATAATTCAAATAAAAAAATATAAAAAAATTTCGAAAAGAGGAGAACGTCATGTAGCGTTAGTTTGATAAGTATCCCAAGCTGTTTACTCTATTCATATATTCACGTAATTTTTAGAAGAACTTCTACTAGTCAATAAAACAAAGATTTCAACAGAACGCGAATCACCAACCTTACTTGTATCACATTACAGGCTTAGCCGCTTGAATGGGATTTTTACTTGTAATAAAGTGTGAAAGTTCTAGTTAGTTCAAGAGTTTAGCTGATGTTATACAGTAACATAACACTTACCTTTATTGCAGAAGCCATGTTGGATAAGATGAGGCGAACTGGTGGCTAAGCACAGTTGCAAGTCTCTTATATCTGCAAGATATCAATTAACGAAAGCGTCAGCAAAACACAGTGTTTAGTAAATTGCAGGAAAAGTTGCAAGATTTTTACTTCCAGGGTCAAGTTCAGTGAAAAAGAACAACTCACTAACTGTTGTACCGGTAAATCGTTGAAACGGAAATGGATAAAATGGGGGGAGGGATTTGGTAAACTTTTAGGTAAAAAGTATGTTTAGGTTTAGGGTTAGAAAATGAACCCCAATATCTAGAGTTACTTTCAAAATGAAACCCTTGCCAGACATTTCGTCCCATAGGAATTTCGAAGCCTATAGGTAAGTGTGTTTCATCTTGGTGATGTGAGAGTGCGTTAAGGTCGATCCAATATTTTTTCTCACTTTTATTTTATTTTTGCTCTTATTTTGTGTTTTGGTACATAGGATAAACTATAGTACAGGGTGGTTCTAATTTGTTACACTTTTGAAACTCTATAAATAAAAAAAACCATTCAACCTATCACCACGGATTGAAGAGTATTTAAAATAGGAGTTTCTAAAGTTTTGATTGACACCACTTTGGTAAACATAGTTGCAAAATTAGCCTCTACGTACATTTGTAGATTTTAACTACGATTTTAAATTAACTACACGCTTCCACCTCTCTAAATATCAAAAATTCATTCTCTACGTTGAATTGTCAAAATTTTAAGTAATACTGTTAGGGGTCAATTAGCCCTATAATTTACCTATCAGTTATTGTGTCCGCCATTATTGTAAGCTGCAAGGAACCGGCAAAAATCAAAAAGTGTTCTGTGTTTTAGAGTTTGGGGTGACTTCAATTCTAGAATAAATGTGTGCTGTGCAGCCAGAGGGGACACATACACTATAGCGCATTTATAGTTTTAGCTATAATATTTTAATCAAATCACCTGCCATTGTATACATACTTTTTTACGCCGCGTGTTTCATAGATTTTTAACTGTATGATCAATCTAAAACCGTATTTAATAGTATATTTCGTACCTAGGGCCGAAAATGAGGTTTTGCCGGCTCGAGATAGTTTTTAAGTTCGAGACGAAGTCGAGAACTTAAATCGATCGAGAGCCGCAAAACCATTTCGGTCCGTGGTACGAACGCTATTTTTCACCACACTATACCCTATTACCACTATTCACCACAATAATAATGCACACTGATAGTCAACACAACTACAACTTTAAGGTTATGTGAAGAAATAATTTGAGGAATCAGCAAAAATAAAAATATATAGTTGCTAGGCAACGGTGACAATAACACAATTCTATTGAAATGCTATGGATTTTGATTATGTATTTAAAATGCATTCATGTTTTAAGTAAGTAAGCGGACAGCTGATTTTGCGGCCCCGGCCTGTAAAAACCTGCTCGGTCCCCAAATTATGGACAGCTGGCATCGCCAGCAAAACCTAACTTTCGGCCACCAATTAACGTATGTAATACAGCCAAAAACATGATAGTGTGGTGAAAAATTTTAAAATGTCTGTAGAGGCTAATTTTGCATTTATGTTTACCAAAAATGTGTCATACCAAGCTTGAGAACCTCTTATTTCAATTGATTCTCTCCCCGTTGTATGGTTTTATATTTATAGAGTTTCTAAAGTGTAACAATAATTTAGAACCACCCTGTATTATATAGAACAATAATCAATTGAACTCCTGCCAGAATATGCTACTGCAAAATGATATACGAGTACATCAACTTTTAAATCAATTTTTGATTTGCAAAAATTCTAACATTAAACAACAGTACCTTCCATAAGTAATCTACTGTACCTTAGTATCATTTATCAATCGAAAGAAGGAACAAAGACAATGTTTACTTATTATCACAAGTTAAAACCTGTTAGTAAACACTAGAATTCTCGCTTGGGAAAATAAGTTAATTAGCATGCAAGGGAAAACAGACAAATTAAGTCCTGGCTGAAGACAATCGAACATTTTAACGACTCATTTCCGTGGTTCTAAGGAGTTTGGAAGTGGGAGTTGTCCAAGTCCAAGTGTATATGATTGTGGCGACTAGCGCCACGTCTGGGGGAAGTGCCTGCTCGCTGGGAGCATATACTTCCATCAACTCTCGACCTTGAGGTGGGTTGTGGAGTTCCCCTTGCGGTTGCTGCTGGAACGTGTGATTCGGTGATTCATCTGTAATCTACTGTAAGACTCTGTTACTCTGCTCCTGGTAGATTCATCAAGATGTTTGGGTTTAAATCTTCCTGTCCTTGAGCTGAACCACGAAATTATTTGTTTATAGACATTTCGCCAGAGGTAGGGAAGTGTTTTTGAAATAGTCAATTTTTGCCTTGTACTGTGTTAAACAGCTAGCAGATGTGTACAAAGGTAAAACTAACTGGTATTACAAACTATGGTGGTTTTAACAACTTAAAGATGCATGAAATATACGTATTATTTGTAGTTGAAGTTTATTTATAACCTAAAGTTGAAGTGAAGACCTTTGTGAAAATATCTAAGTGGTAAAGTTGGAGACTTCTTAGTCGAGGAAAATATTAACAAGTCCTCTCTTGTCCATTTACCATTCAATATTGTTAAGTTTGCATTTTCTAGCTTACAGTTTATAAGTTTATGTTATTGTATAGTGTATTTCTTATGTTTCTGAAGGTTAGAGTATGATGGGTTCCAATAAGTTTTGATATAATATATTTTTGTTCCACAATGTACCTGTTTTGTTGATACAATTTATTCAATGGTATTAAGAATAAATTTATTTTTTGTTTCATACTGTCATACTCAGGTTTTTTAAATATAACATTCGCCTATTAAGACTAATGATCAGTAAGTATTCAATGGAAATCAATCACCACTACCCTATTTTGTATATCGTCACCATCCTGTAAGTAAACAGTACAAGTGTTAATATATGAGTGTTATTGTACAAGTTGAAATACGTAATATGAAAAATAAGTACACTGAGATTGAAATCAATACTAACGTAGTTGATTGTACTTCATTCTAAATGTGTAGCACCATGCAATCCGTAAATAAAAAAGTAACGAGGCTTCTGAAATTCTTCTGCAATTTCATTTATATAGGCCTACTGCCTTTGTATTTGTAACAGCAACTTAATGTTTTATTCGATTTAAGTATACAAACTCAAAGTTTATGTTAATATAGGAATATAAAATGTAAATGCTTTCTTTTCAATAAAAAACGTACGAAAATCTGATTGAGTTATTTTGGCATTGATTGAGGTAATCTGCATGTTTTTAGATATAAACGCGTGTTTGTAGATGATATTTTACTGCAAACGGTGTAATTCCAACTTTGTACTTGTTTTACTCGCAAGTACTACTGTAACTTCTAACTCACACCAGTAAAAATTATGAATTAATTGTTTTCAAAACAAAATGTTCCTAAACTCTGTATTTTGAACTAAAATTCCATCAGAATTACATGAGGTAAACATGTATTAATATAATTTATTAGCAATAGAATTTATTAGTCTTGGAATAGAATGCCTAGGCCTAAATGCTCTGTTGTGAAGAGTAAAAGTAAAAAATTCAACAACAACCCGTATTTAATTTAAAACAGGCTGGCCTTAATTTGAACAAGTAAAAATTGAAATGATTATTGTTTTGTGGAAGAGGAAAATACGACGTAAATCTGTGATTGTGTCAGTTCCAATGAACTGAGGCTGATAATTTGATCCTCCTTATTGACTCGAGTGTCCACAATCATGGTCCATCATTATCCCATCCTATATAAGAGATCTTCGCCTCTGTGTGTAGTTAGATGTTCTTGTAGCTTCTTCTAGACACATCCACCATGAAGGTACGTGCAGTGTTTTTAGCAATTCTCTGACGTGAAAGAAAACATATTTTAACTAATTTTCATTAGCAAGGTAATTTTAACTAATCTTCATGTTAGCTAGTGCAAAATTCGTTTCATGTAAACTATTATATATTTCAACAAAATTTTAGGATTTTGGTGACCTGAGTTGTTTGGATTTAGGCCTTTACCTTGAAGACATGCGGTGAAGGTGAAATGGAAGCCCGTAGAGATATTATTTCATAGAGGTCAAATATGTTTCCTTTAAAAACATTTGCTTCCTTATTTTGTTTGAGGTTATTAACTTAATACAAAAATTACAGCTACTAAAACTATTAAATCATTTTTTTTCTTTTACTTAGACCTTAGACCATCAGTCTCATTTTCCCGTAGAGAAGAATGAAATTTCAAAATTAAGGTCTTCTATATGCCACAAGTATGTAATATGTTCAATACTACTTTATGTAATATATATATTTATTACTGTAGATTTTTTAAATATGCTGATTATTTAGAGTATTTCAAATAACGCATGCTATTAAAACTATAAGTGTTTAATGATCTGAGATCTAAATACCTAACATAATTAATGCTTTTTATTCAAGGTTCGTAGGAATAAAATACAAAAAAAATATAATAATACAGTTTGTTGAAAATAAAAAACCAAATATAATAAAAAAATACCTTAGCATATTTATTTATAAATATACCATATTTTTCATAATAGTGAATGCCAATGATGTGAAGGAACACGAAGAAATGTCCATACTTTGTATATCAAGGTCACTTCTAACGATAGGATGAAACTTAGGTTTATTGAAGATATAAATCTTTTAAGGAAGGGTTATTGTATATACAATATTAATACATTCATGATCCACGACATTGTTTATTAATTGCCTTAATTGGTTCGTAAAAAAAATATTTAAATCTTTACGACTCAATATTATAAGTCTACCTATCATCGTCGTTCCTTAGTGGCATCATTGTAAAATTGTCAATTTGTAAATTCTAAAGAAGAATAATTACTTAATTTTTAGTGTTTAAAGTGTATTTATTTTTTGTAAATTATCTTAACCTGTTTGGTTGGCCTCATAAAATATTTATTGATATTATATTTGATATTGCTTCGTGTATTTACTTCATTCTTGGACGTATAATTTTGTATTGTATTCTCAAAGTAATAAGGCCAACATCTGTGATAAACTACTAATGCAAATAAAAAATACAGTATAAATAAAATTTTGTCACACAAGTTGTAAAATTTTTTTTCCAAAATTGAAAAATCTAAAATTTTTATGTATTTATGAATTTGAACGCCCCTGTCTTGCGTGGAAATTAAAAATAAACATTATAAAGTCTATAATAAGTTCAAATATTCAATATGGCCCATTCTAATTTTATTCTAACGGGTGCTTTAATGATATAATAACAAGTGTACTGTATTGACTGGAAGTAACTAGTTAGTAATCAGTTACTGTACTGTGCTGTTTAGTTACTGTATTATAGTAACTAGTTAGTGTAGTGTAGTAGTGAGAAGTTGTTTAGTTGTCATTGCCACTGATAGTGAAACAACGAAACATTGTACCAAACACTAATTACACCACTCAACAATAAAATTGACATGAACAGTTGATTGGTTGATTTTAATAGAGTGCCTCTCTCTCAATCCTTGAACCTCATTGGTCAGTTACCCGCGTTGCTATGAGGAAAAACTATGCTGTTTTAAAAGTAAACAATTCTGTTACGAGAAACTTTTCAATTATAAGAACTGTACTGAAACGGCTACTTAAAAAAATTGTCGTTGGTAAACAATATTAACGTGTTCAAATTATTTTACTCCTTTCTTAGTCAAAGTTTTAGTAATGTCTCATTTACAGCCTGTATTAGCAATAACAAAAACGCTAATAGAGATATTATTATCTTAAACTAACATCAATGTAATTACGTCTTTTTCTGTTGAAGGTTACCGTCTTCGTTTTGTCCCTTCTACTCGTTGCATCAAACGCTTTCCCTCAATTTAATCTGCAAGTATCTCCATACCCAGTGCAGCCTGGACAACCGTTGCAACCGATGGTTCCTGGAACCGTCGTGACAAGAACAACGTACGTTCAACCAGCGCAACAGTTGCAACCAGCGCAACAGTTGCAACCAGCGCAACAGTTGCAACCAGCGCAACAGTTGCAACCAGGCCAGACTTTGACCAGTACAACGTTTGTTCAGCCAGCACAATCTTTGCAACCATTGTCACCTGGACAAACTGTGACTAGAACAACATATGTGCAACAAGTGCAGCCGGTGCGACCAGTGCTTCGACGAGGATAAAACTAAATCGAGATAATAACTTTCGAAGTCGTTTGCCGAACATAGAACAATCCATGAAAGTCGAAATGAAATTTCATTAGAATATTTCAATAAGTCCCGAGCACATAGGTAACTGTGTATGTAATGGCTGATGTTGTAAATTTTCTGATGTAATTTATAAGCTACATTAAAACATGGTGTTTTGATTGCTTGTTTGTGTTGGAAAATTCGGGCTTTGTTTCCTTAAATTATTGATGAGTTCTTGTTGCCTTTGCATCTTGTTTATGAATCTTAAACACTATGTATAGCTGTGACTAGAAACGTCCTAAATGAATTTTAAAATTTGTATTGGAAGATTACAGCGTGTATGTATTGGAAAAATATGCAAATAGTTATGGAATTCACATTTTCTTATGATAATGTCTATTGATCGTGTCGTAAATAAATATTTGCATATGAAAATGTCATTTTCTCAATGTACATCCTTTTATTCATAAAGTGAACTAAAGTTATAGTTTAAGTCTTTATACAACTTATTAACATAGTGCATGAGGTATGAGTAAATTTTTGTATTCAATTATTAGTTAGGTACTAAGTCACTAAAATAACTTGAAAAAAAAACTATCATAATAAATTTGATATTTGTGTATGTGAAAATACTGCCAGAATCAAATTATGAAAATATTGTAGATCAATTCGCGTCAACAGTAAATGGACAACTATTCAAAGTTTGTAAATCTCTCATTCTCTACTCAGTTGTATATTAACGATTACGTACCAAGCCACTCAAGAATATAATTGGTCAAATTAACTTAACAAATTACAAAAAAAACAATAATTATAATCCATCACTTAAATTACATAATAATTAGTTAAAAGGGACACATAGCACAAGGTTCCTAAGCTTGAAATTTTATCCGATTGATTTTATCTTTCATTTAACTTAATTGCTATACTAACTTGAATATGTGTGGAATGTTATTAGAGCAAATCGGAATAGAAACAGAATTGCAAGGGAAATAAACACAACTTGAGTTACTTGAAACAGTTATTTATTGGTTACATAGAAGCTGAATAGAGGTGGCAAAGATTGAACTAGAGATTTATAGTTTGCCTCCCAAAAGACCACCGACTATGGGCACACCTTCCAGTAAAGGGGTGGCTTGGGAGAGTGCGAAGAAGTATGCCACGCCAAGGGCGACGATGACAACCTGCAAGTTATAAAGTGATTAGGATACACATACTTCAATTTTTACTTTCTCCCCCTATACCATAGTATATGGAGAAAGTATTGTTTTCGTCAAAATTTTCGAGTTATAGTGTTGAGTGGATATATTCGTTTTGGGTCCCCCTCGACCCAATAAAGTGGTTTTCGAAGTGATGTCTGTGTGTGTGTGTCTGGATGTGTACAGAGCTAGGGACTACACCTGTGGCCCGATTTCGATGAAATTCGGTATGTAGGTTCTAATCCATAGTATCTCCAGGAGTTTTTTTTCATTTTTTTTAAATTTTGATTTTTAATGAGGATTTTTCCATCAAAACCCATAAAAAACCGGAAAAATCGGATTTTTGTAAAAATGGCTCGAACGATTTTGATAAAAATTTAGTATGTTGTAGCCCTTTAAATTCGGAACAAAATGGTATAAATACCATTTCTGTAAAAATTACGGTTCAAAAGATATTGTAAATTATGTTATTTTCCCCATAAAAACCCCATAAAATAACGAAAAATCGGATTTTCCCAAAATTGGCCCGAACAATTTTGATAAAAAATTTGTATGTTATAGTCCTTAAATTCTGAACAAAATTGTACAAATCCCATTTCCGTATATTTACTCTTACAGCTTACACATGATAAAGGTTGTTGACAAACTTATGGGAGAAAGTATGTCAGAATGCTGATACCATTTATTGAGCGGAGCGAGCGAAGCTCTTATACGTCGACTTTTATGCATTTCGTAATACGCAAACTCCTCCTAGACGGCTGAATCAATCGTTTTCAAATTTTGCATGGTGATAAAGACCATATCGGTGAGTGCCAACATCTATATAGCGTTAAAAAAGTCTCTCAGGAATCCGTAGAAAAATGAAACTGAAAATCACATTTTTTTAACATTAGTCTTATGGGTTGCTAGGTAACCATGTTGGCTGAATTAAATAACAAGTAAAAAGTAAACAAAAGATTTGAAGTTTTAGCATGTGCTCATAATAAGCCAACTACCCACAGTATACTAGGAAATTACAAATACAGTACAAAAGGAAAAACATCACTTGTTAATATTGAGCAAAGATTATACTTAAGATTACTCGATACATTGTAGTCAAGGGTAGCAGTGCGAAGTCTAGGATCTGTTTATGACGAATACATTAAGGTGTCTGCAATCCTAAAATGCTATGGGAAGGGAAGGAAACAGGTCCGTGACGTAGGAAGTAGTGAAGGAAGTAGTATAGGCAATCATAAAATGCTATGGGAATAGAGGGAAACAGGTCCGTGACGTAGGAAGTGATGAAGGAAGTAGTAAATGCGAGCAGTCCGGAGTGTGGGGACTGTTTATGACGATAAGATTAGGGTATCTGCAATCCTAAAATGCTATGGGAAGGGAGGAAAACAGGTCCGCGACGTAGGAAGTGGTGAAGGAAGTAGTCAAGGCGAGTAGTCCGGAGTGCGGGAACTGTTTATGACGATTAGAATAAGGTATCTGCAATCTTTAAGTGCAATAGGAAGGGAGGGAAACAGGTCCGCGACGTAGGAAGTGGTGAAGGAAGTAGTCAAGGCGAGCTGTCAGGAGTGAGGGAACTGTTTATGGCGATTAGATAAGGGTATGGGCAATCCTAAAATGCTATGGGAAGGGAGGGAAACAGGTCCGTGACGTAAGAAGTGGTGAAGGAAGTAGTCAAGGCGAGCTGTCTGGAGCGTGGGAACTGTTTATGATGATTAGATTAAGGTATTTGCAATCCTAAAATGCTATGGAAAGGGAGGAAAATAGGTCCGCGACGTAGGAAGTGGTGAAGGAAGTAGTCTAGGCGAGTTGTCCGGAGTGTTGGAAATGTTTATGACAATTAGATTAAGGTATCAGCAAACCTAAAATGCTACGGGAAGGGAGGAAAACAGGTCCGTGACGTAGGAAGTGATGAAGGAAGTAGTCAAGGTGAGCTGTCCGGAGTGTGGGGACTGTTTATGACGATTAGATTAAGGTATTTGCAATTCTAAAATGCTATGGAAAGGGAGGAAAATAGGTCCGCGACGTAGGAAGTGGTGAAGGAAGTAGTCTAGGCGAGTTGTCCGGAGTGTTTGAAATGTTTATGACAATTAGATTATGGTATCAGCAAACCTAAAATGCTACGGGAAGGGAGGAAAACAGGTCCGCAACGTAGGAAGTGATGAAGGAAGTAGTCAAGGTGAGCTGTCCGGAGTGTGGGAACTGTTTATGACGATTAGATTAAGGTATTTGCAATCCTAATGCTATGGGAAGGGAGGAAAACAGGTCCGCGACGTAGGAAGTGGTGAAGGAAGTAGTCAAGGCGAGTAGTCCGGAGTGTGGGAACTGTTTATGACGATTAGATTAAGGTATCTGCAATCTTTAAATGCAATGGAATGGAGGGAAACAGATCCATGACGTAGGAAATTGTGTAGGATGTAGATGTGTGGATTTATGCATCTCCAATACTACGGTGCTTTCAGAGTGAACTAATGATTTTCTCCGAGCAAAGCTCGGTCCCCAGGTACTATAATCAAATGACGACACTAGCTTGAGGTTCGTGACGTATGAAGAGGTTAAGGAAGTAGTAAAGGTGAACAGTCTGGAGTATGGAAACTGTTTATGACGATTAGATTAAGGTCACAACGTTCCTAAAATGCTACGGAAAGGGAGGGAAACAGGTCCGCGATGTGGGAAGTGGCGAAGGAAGTAGTAAAGGCGAGCTGTTCGGAGTGTGGGATCTGTTTATGACGATTAGATTCAGGTATCTGCAATCTTAAAATGCTATGGGAAGAGAGGGAAACAGATCCGCGACGTAGAAACAGGTGAAAGAAGTAGTAAGGTGAGCAGTGTGGAGTGTGGGAACTGGAAACCGTTTGTAGCAGTTTTAATGTATCTGCAATGCTGAAATGCTATGAGAAGGGATGGAAGCATGCCCAAGACATAGGAAATTGTGAAAGAAGTAGTAAAGTCTAGCAGTACGGACAGTGGGGATGTTTGTTGCAATTGCATTAACGTATCTAAAATACTAAAATGCTATGGAAAGCGATGAATACAGGTCCACGACGTAAGTGGTGAAGGAAGTAGTAAAAGCTGGCAGTGCAGAGTGGGGGAACCGTTTGAGCAGATGGATAAATGAATTTGTAATACTTAAATGCTATGAGAAAGGAAGGAAACAGGCCAATGACGTAGTAAATGGTGAAGGAAGTAGTAAGGCTAACAGCGCAGAGTGTGGGAACTGTCTTTGGCAATTAAATTAATGTATCTGCAATCCTAAAATGCTATGGGAAGAGAGGGAAACAGGTCCACGACGTAGGGTGTGGTGAAGGAAGTAGTAAAGGTGAGCAGTGTTGAGTTTGGGAATGGATTAATGTATCTGCAATGCTAAAATGCTACGGGAAGAGACTGTAGACTGTAATATGTTAAAATGATTACGAAGCACAAATCGATACATATTTTCGATACATGCAATCGTTTACAATCGAAATTTACAACTGAGTTGACAACAGCTGATTTTTACTCCATAGAGGCTAAAAACGATTTTTACTCCCTAAATATTAAATACCCCCGCCGCAGCAAACCTGCAGACTAAGCGAATTTCCATTTGACTGATTGGATTTACACTGAAATGTCTACTTAAAAATATAACATTTATTCCCGATTTAAATAGAATTAGTTTAACAAGTACTTAGGTTTGCTGCATCAAGGAGGGTAAAATTGTTTTTTTTTTTGTAAAATGTTAATAGTTAGTAAGAAATAAAAACATTTTCCAAATTTGATCAAAATATGTTCATAAACAAGCAAACTACAACAGTTTACTTATTCTCCATAAGAATAACATGGGAATTTTAAATTTACAATTTTTTGGAATTTTCTCCGTAACCGTTAGGCGCATAATAACGCTTCAATATACTAAATTATTTGTTTTTTTAAGCTCTACAAAATGGTTTGGAAATAAATTGCAAAATTTTAAGTTTTTTGGGTCAAAAATGGGCAAAACCTATTTTTACCCCATAAAATCCCCCGTAAACACCCGTTACCATGGTCCGATCATGCTGGATCGCGAACTCGTTCGAATAAACGTAGGTTTACACGTTTGTGCCAAATTTCATCAAAATCGGATCATTTTTGCTTGAGTTATCGTGCTGACGGACACACACACACATATATATATATATATATATATATATATATATATATATATATAAATATATATATATATATATATGAATTTGAACGGATGGTGTTTTTGGCTTCTAGGGACCTCAAAACGAAAAAAAAAATCGGTCCCGCGTCCAGGTCTTACCATGAGTACTACGGTAATAGCTTATTCCCTGTATGGGAAATTCGCTAAAATGCTACTTTAGACCCGCAGCGCATGCATGAAAAAATACTGTTTTTACTGCAGTAAGACAAAAACAATATAATATGAACCCTTGATGACTCCGCTCAATTTTGTGGATGCCTCTGCGAACGCCACCTAGTTTTAAATACACATACCTCTCAAAATTAGTTTTAAGATTATTTTTACCGACAGAGATACTGTGACGAAAATTATACATGTGCTTCCCAAAACATAGGTGTACAGTAAGACGATAGCTTTGACGATAGCTGGGACTATGAAGAGGTATAAGACATCCCGTCATACACATACCGTTAATTGTAGCTAGTATTTAAAAGAAAGGTGTAGTATAACTAAGCCACCGGCAGATTCTGCTATTGTCAATTACTAATTTACATTGCATACACGGACTGTTTCGTCAGCTTTGTAAGATAAGATCATCTGGGTAGCCGAGTGGTTATGCTCGCCTTCAAATCTGAAGGTAGCTGGTTCGAATCCAAACGATATCGTTTCCAGACCCAGATGCCACATTGGGCTATGAATTATGAGTTAAATGATGCTATCTAACAAAAATTTCAACGTTAGGTAGTAACAAGACCAGGGTTTTGGACATTTCCCTTTCAAAACGTAAAAAATACCACTGGCGTAAAAACAAAAAAAATAAAAAAATACAGTACCTTTTAGACACATAAATGGAAAAAAAGTTAAAACCTAAGCACCTAAGCGAGGAAATTTTATTTTTACAGTAGCACACTCTGGGAGCGCATCATTTTGCTGCATTCTCTTTAAAGTAAAAAAATAAAATAAACTATATATAGTGGGAAAGATGGTCAAGTAGATAGGCTGCCTCAATACCTACATACCGGAATGACTCCTATGCAAATTATTTATTTAAACTACATAATTATACCGTAACCGTAAACAATGAAGGTTGCGCTCTTTACAAAGCTTTATTAGTTCTTGATAGAAATCTCAAGCTTAACCGTTTTGGCGTATTGAACTTAGCCCTAAGGTTTATGTGCACATTTGATTACAAATAAAGCATGTTGAACTTTAATACATAAATATGATTGTGTTAATTTGTTTGAATATTTATTGAAATAACGCTAGTGCTAAAATTGTTTGATTAATCAATTTATTTTGAATTCGTAATTTTATTTGATGAGAGACCATTAAACTTGTGATCTATTACATTGTTTGAAACATACAAAGTGACGGACCAAAGTTTCCAGCGATCAACTAAACAATTTTCAACAAGTTGTCAACAAGAAAATAAGCAAAATACACTTAAAAGTTTGAACTAGAAAAGACAATTTGTATGTTTTATTCTGATAACCACTGAAAATAGGTATCAATATAAATGTGAAAATTTATTGTTTTGTTTGCCATTTATCTACGGACACAGCTTATGAAACTAAACAGCAACCCATATACACTGTTTGGACTAATTTGTCAATTGTAACACAAGAATGTCATTAATAATTATGTTTAAATATCAATTTCAAACTTTTATACCTTGAAGGAGACAGCCATTTCAGTGATAGTGTTGGAACAGAGGGTACCTGTGAAATGGTTATAAACAGAATATTAGGTTTTGTCTTCATTACTTAAACTAAAATAAGTCGTTGCTTTTATTGGAGTTTTAGTTTATATAAAGCAATATCTGCACTGATGTCCTAGTTTTGCTGTACTACATAAAGCCCTTAACTAAACAAGATACATTGATAAATAAAATCCATCGTCATGGTATAGTTGAGCCCAATTTAAGTGAAAAATGACTTAGTTAAATTGGGCCAACAAATGCCACTGTACTATTTTATTTCAAATTCACCAACTGTTCAATCATTCCATGTTAAAAGACAACTAACTGTACAAATTTATCGTATCTTTTACAATATTGTTTGCTATGATCCCATTAAGGCAGTGACACACTATCGATCTTTTCCCCGAACAAGACCCCGAACCGAGCAGGGAGAAGGGAGAAGGGAGGTAAAAATCTGCAAATTTTCAATCAGAACATTTCCCCGAACAAGACCAAGACCAGACAAGTTCTACCGAGCGCGGTAAAAGGGAGTTTAGAGAGAGATGGAGGGCGTGTTTGAGTGAGAGCGCGTAGGCGGTAATAATAAAACAGTCATAAAACATGAAATAACATGTTACAGAATGATAGTTTTGATTGTCTTCAAAAGTTTTTATGTTTATATTAATTTTGAAAGAATTAAAGTATAACAACAATTACTTAATTCAAGTTAAACGTCATTGGTATCATTGATTTAACGGTTTTAACTTGTAAAATGCATTTTCAACCTTGACCAAACACACAACAAAATTACAACATAAATGTCCATAAACATTTTTTTTTGAGTCGGTGGCTCAGTCGGTAGCGTCGCGGACTTCGGGCCCAAGGCAGAAGTGTCGTGGGTTCGGATCCTGGTCACTGAAACTAACTTTTATCAGTACAGTTCACCTTTGTACTGTACGGGCTCACCCCTTGCTTTGCTGGATACGTTCCACGCTCAGATCTGTAGTCTATGTGGACGGGGAAATGCAAGGTTAAAAGAGGCCGCCAACCTCTTTTTAGTAAAAAAAAAAATAATATATAACGGCAAAATATTACCCAACATGTATTTATTTGAGCAATTAAAGAGTTTAATTGCCATATAGAACTATCAACGCTAGCGCAGGCGGCCGCTCGGTGCGGCGCTCGCGACGAAGTACGGGGCAAAAATATACCGTGACACACTATCGTACATCACTCCGTACATCGGACCGATCTTTTCTTTGATGTTTCGCCAAAAAACCGCCTCCAGAGCGCTCGTCTCCCTGCTCGGCCTGATGTCTGGTTCGCCGTTTGGATCGGTGTACGGACCCCTGACACACTATCGAACATGCTCCCTTCGACCTCCCTTCTCCCTTCTCCCTGCTCGGTTCGGGGTCTTGTTCGGGGAAAAGATCGATAGTGTGTCACCGTCTTTAGTATCCCCATTAGATATGGTCTATGAACGACGAAAGAGAAAACTGAACTTCAAATAGTAACAATTTTAGTTTTGAGTTGAAAATAATAACAGCTGAGCATTTAGATGATTTTTTCCCCAGACTGTATTAAGTAAATTATACGAGTATTTTTGTCCTGAGTAAATTATACGACTATAATGGATTGCTTATCTGTAATTGCAATGTAAAAGAAAACCTATAATAGGTAAAGTAATATTTGCAATCCTACAGTACTACTATACTTAATAAAAACATTATGTATGCCCATTATGATTTGTGTTTTACATAAAGCAAAATAAATGAAAATGTCCAAGATTAAAGAATTAACTACTTTTTCATGGCTGACTTTTGTATCGCCACTGCGTCTTAACGACAACCCATTTTCAGAATATGGTGGCCAGTGAACAAAATTAAAATATTTATCATGATTACAACATTTAAGGTTATTTAAAGACACCTTCATTTTACGTTATATCCGCAAAGCATGAATTGAAAACAGCAATTTTTTGCTGCAGTACGAAAAAATATAACATTTATGCATTTTGATTGAACTTGTCTGACACTGAGTATTTTATGCCGATGCACTAAACTCTATTTCTTGGAACAGGTTCACTCTAAGAATAAAAACCTTAAACCTTACAACCTACTCTATACATACCGCTGTAGTGAAAGATACGAAGCAGAACTAAGTGTGCTTTTTTCTCTCTGAGCTTAAGTACTTATACAGACACCTGTGCATCGGAAATATGTTTGCATCTAGTTTGTCTTTGATTGAGTTGACGTTGAACAGCTGTTATTGCAAATGACAAATTGTCATCGTTAAGATCATCGTTGATGTCTTCTTCAGGCAATGTGGAATGTGATAATCATTGTTGGAAAGTGAATGGTATTTGAACAAGTATACATCTTACTTACAGAGCTTTGATATGACAAATAACTGCAATCAGTTGCAGCAAAAACGAATTTAGTTTGCTAGTGTTTTAAATTATTCAATAGATAAAGTCGTGAATACGGAAAGGTACCGTAAAATCTTCTGTGAGTAGTAGTAAAATGTATGTAAATGTTTTTAGCAATTGATTTATGGACAGTTTTGATAGTTTATGATTGGTTTAGCATTGGAGAATGCAACTAGTCTTTTTATCTAATTTAATAAATAATTTTTTGTGGAGTGTGTTACATGTTCGGTTATGTTGGTATGATCTTTTTGGTTACTACATTAAACAAGGTGCACTGTAATATTTGAAACAATACCACTTGCTCAAAGTATATGCAACAATGATAAATGGATATTTTTATTTAGTTAACATACTTTATAAGCTTATAAAATCACAATAAATAAAAATTAAAACACGCACTATTATATCATCGGGCAGAAACGTACATTAAACTTTCTTTAGCTGATATGACAAATCTATAAGGAAGGTATTGATCAATATTAATGTTTAACGTTTGCAAACCTCTTTTTCTAAATCCCTTGAATACTGGTGGTTTCAAAATACTTATAGCATAATAATTTATCATGATAAATAATTATTAAGATTCAGTTGGTAAATCTTTTCTCAGTTTGATTTTATTATTGTCCTAACAGCAACTAAAATGTTGTTTGACTTAAATCAAACAACCACTTTACCTTACAGTTCTCACAGGCAAACATTAAATAATTATTATTCACAATTTGATATGTGGTTTTGAGCAGTTTATACGATTGTCAATGGAAAATCTGAATCAAACAAATACTGACTTAGCTTAACGTGATTTTAAATCCGTTAATTAGTGTAATCTGCAACATCAAAACGAATTTTAGACTATATTAATGCTGCTTTAATGATAGATAGTGGACCCGAAACTATATGAAAAATCATGTACTCTAGATTCCCACGTATTATGATTGACTTCCGAGCATCAGGCTATACTATAACGTTAAAATATATGTGTCTGTCTGTCTTATCATCCCTTAACCAAAATTTTGCTGAAAATCGACTTATGCTTGGCATCCAGAATAATTATAAGTTTACTCCCTATTATTTCTATATATACTGAGGGTTCTGCCCCCTCCCACCCAGAAGGAATTTTAAGGGTCTTTGGTGCGATTTTGGAAAGTAAATATGGAGGGAGGGCTGGAACTGCACTCACGGTCAGTCCCTGGTCCTAATCCAACTACGGAACTGCACTCACGGTCACTTTGAGCCTTTCTGGAGGTACTGGAACTGCACTCACGGTTAGTTTTTAATTAGCCTATGTCACATTGTGCAACACCATGATTGAATTGATTAAAACTTATTAAATTAGTTGAAATATATTGAAAAGTTTTGATTAAATTAATCTAAACGTCAAAAAATAAACTTACTACTGACATTGTAAAAAATACACATATATGTGCACAGAAAATTATAGCATAGTATTTACGATAACATGATAGGCTATATTCTTATTATAACGAAGCTTCTTTTGTAAAGGTTAGGTTAGGTTAGGTTAGGTTAGGATAGGATAGGTTATTTATTGTTGTATTTATTGAGACAGACACTAAAACGTGTATTAAATAAAGTATTGGATAAAGTAAGACAGAGGACGGAATAAACAGATAAGCCTGCTAAGGGGCTAGCGAAGCGTTCAGCCGTGAAAGACCGATTTTTGACCGTGAGTGCAGTTCCATATGGCTTAGGCGGGCTACCCTTCCAACCCTTGTAAATTCCTTTGACCGTGAGTGCAGTTCGTTGTCAGCCAATATGGACTGGTCTTCATAGCAATGCAAGTAAATAATGACTATACATTTTATTTAATCATATATCCAGTATAAATTAAACTAAAACATTGTAGAAAATCATTTACAATAATTTTAATCAATTAATAAAGATAAGGTAATATAACGTGTCTACAACAATTTTTTTTTAAATTATTCTCCCTACGTTCTCAGAAAAATGCGAAAAACAGTATAAATTTAACTTTTCAATTGTACGTGAATGGGTGTATAAAATAAAATAAACAATAGTTTTAAAAAGGTGTATTTAAAACTAAAAACTAGTCAATTTAAAACTATTTCCAATTTTAATTTGACTTAGGATATAATTTATCCAAAGCCAGGAAAACTTCCAGCTCCAGGCAAACTTCCAGCTCCAGGCAAATTTCCAGCTCCAGCGAAACTTTCAGGGACTTTTTGGACCTGATTGACTCCCTCCTGGAAGGCAGTTTGACCCATATTTACTCCCTGTTCTGTAGCCTTTTGAGGCACCTTCGCAAACTCCCCTATGGAGTCAACTCCTGGCAGTTGGGGAAGACCATCGGAGAGGGTGAAGAGCAGCACGAGGCCGAGAGGGAGGAGTACCTGGAATAAGGTTTTGCTTGATTACGGTAGAAATAAGGGTAAGAGAGGGTTGAGAAGAAACCAAAATGTTAGCTAATATATATATTTTTTTAAAGAAAATATTGTAGTTGAGCTTTGTTGGTCAGGATGTATGTAATACCATAGATACAACATACTCCCTTTGCGTTGGTTAGTCTATGGTATTGTATTGATTCTACCAAGATCTGTGTATTCATTAACTTAGTAGGATGTGATGTGATGTGATATGAGCTAACTTCATTAGCTTTAGTATGATGTATAATATGACATATGTTTGTACTTGACGATTGGGAGATTTAGAATCGTAAATCTCTGATTTTGGTAAATCCGTTATAAAAAAACATTTAAAATATTTTCAAGTTATTCCTTGGGTTTAGTGTAGTGGGGAAACTTATATTTCATTACTGTAGGAAAAAATGTGTTTCTGTAATCATTAGTAGTCATTTTAATTATTAGTTAAATAGTCTGACTAAAAATATGAAACAAGGGAATAAGTTAAAAGAATCTAGATGTATGAAGCCAAGATAAACAATTTTAATTATTTCCATTAATTTGTCGATGACCAATAGACTAGAATCTGTAACCACACCAACATTAACACAAAAGTTAACATTTTTGAATAATAATTTTACAATACATGAACAATGACGATGCATTAGTAAGTTTGCACATGTAAAACATAGCGAGTTATGAGAATGGTAAATTAAAAAATATACTCCTAAATTGTGAAATTTGGTAAAACTATTTTTTTGTGATTTGTTAAAGATTCAATGCATGCTGGTTATACTTGTTGGTTTCCGGAAAATTTTCATGGGCAGGTCCTGTTATTAAATTATATTCGTGAAAGCATTTTTACGTTACTCAAATATAACTAGTGGGAGTAGGCCTATATTGAAAGCAAATCTGTCTTAATCTGTCAAAAACTTGTTACATAAACAAACATGAACGGAAATCTTAGAACGAGAACTTTAAGCTGAGATTTTCTTTTGGGCGAATCATAAAATTTAAAAATTTGGCCACATACATTTTTTATTGATACTTTATAACTCTTAAATTTTAGATTTAAGTAGCATCTTTGTAGCATGTTACAGTAAAATACAGGGTGTTTGGTACTAAGTGTGAAAAAGAATTGTTGGTGTAAGTACAAAGTAAATGCAGTATGATGATGCATATAAAATGTCCCAAGTCTAAAAATTAGCTTCCCAAAGAATTATTTTATGTTTTTAAAAAATGACTATGTTTTTAAACTTAATACAGCTATTTCTCAATTACCTGTAAATGGATTTGAGTAGACAATGTCATTTTCGTGTTCTACATTAAATTTTGAATAAGAATAATACAAAATGACAGAGGATCAGTTGTAAAAACTCCATCGTAAATAGATTCAAAGATAAAAATTAAGATGTTTGGTAAAAATTCAAAAAACATTGGTCAATTGCATTTGTTCACACCCTGTATACAAGAAAGTGTCGGAATATGTTAAAAACTGCGCCATTTTATAAGCTTTCCAACCATATGCTACACCATTGAGCTTTCTGTCTGCTTATGTACGCTTTCGTGGTTTGAAGACTACTAAGCATGGCGTCTTTATCATTTAAAACATTGAAAGTCAGTAGGTATTAAGCAAAAGTTGTATTTTTGTTTCAGCTTGAACAGTAAAAACAGTAAAAAAGTTCCCAGTTTTCTGGCATTCAAACCACTAAAATAAACAAAAAAAATATCTAAACCTCAATAGTGTAGGTTATGGTTGGAAAGCTTATAAAATGGCGCAGTTTGTAACATATTCCGACACTTTCTTGTATACAGGGTGTGAACAAATGCAATTGACCAATGTTTTTTGCATTTTTATCAGACATCTTAATTTTTATCTTTGAATCTATTTACGATGGAGTTTTTACAACTGATCCTTTTACTCTCTCGTTTTTAGTCTCTAGGGAGTGAAAATCAGCTGTTATAAACAGTTGCAAATTTCGATTGTGGCAACCATATCGATCGAAATTATTTATCAATTGATTTATTAGGTAAGGTGTTAGCCTATTATTGTCGGTCGTTCGACAGATCGATGGTATTATGTACTGTAACACAATCGTAAAAGACGAACTGATTGAATATCTTACTAAACAGCTGCTTAGTTGAATGGACAACAAGCTGGAAGTCGTTGTTAGAGGTTATTTCGTTTTCTAGGTCAGTTTGTTAACTAATGATTTAATATGACGAAAGAAAATATAGTTCACCACACGAGCAAAAAGTGTATTTTTAACCCTCGATTATTTTCATTTACAACTTGACCTCGGGTCAAAAAGAGTGACTTTAGGCTCTAGTGATGATATTATACTATAGTTAGTTTCTTCTGATATACTCCGCTTGACTGTATAGCTTTGTTTTATACAATACTATTGAGTT